TGGCAGCCAGGAGGCAGGAGCAACAGGCGACAGTGCGGGCCCTCTGGTTCTGGGCCTTTTCGCTGCAGGCAAAGGTAATTGTGTTTCTGCATCCTACCATCCCTGCCTCTCCCTCAGGCCTTATCCCTGCCTTGGTTGGAGGGAGGGCACCTGGTCTGTGGGGGACCCCTAAACAGGGAGATCTGGGCCTCACCTCCCACCCTCCCTGGAGGTGTGGGCCACGTGGCTGGCCTTTGTACTGGAAAGGAGGAGGAAGAAGGCACGGCTGCAGCGCGCCCTCCAGGCCTACCAGGGGCAGCTCCTCCAGGAGGGTGCCACACGGCTCCTGCGCTTTGCAGCCAGCATGAAGGCCTCCCGGCAGCAGCTGCAGGCCCAGCAGCAGGTCCAGGTAGGCCCAGGGCCCCTTCCTCTGGGGAGCAGGCAGGGTGTGGCATGAGCTGACCAGAGGCTGTGTCGCAGGCGGCTCACAGTCTCCATCGTGCCGTCCGCCGCTGTGCCACGCTCTGGAAACAGAAAGTGCTGGGCCGGGGCGGGAAGCCTCAGCCCCTGGCAGCCATCGCACCTAGCAGGAAAGTGACATTTGAGGATCCTCTTCTCAACTGCATTGCCACTGGGGCTGGGGATGCCACCGTGGGGACCAAGAGACCACAGGCTCCTCTGCTTCAGGGAGCTCTGGGCCGCCTGGCTGCTGAGGAGCCCCACGCCCAGGAACTGTGAGTAGCCCGTCCTCACCTCATGCTCCTCGCTTCCACCCTGGGCAAAAGGTTGGATGGCGTAGCAGGGAGGAAAACTGGGCCCTGATGGGGGACAGGACAGGCTGGCCTCGGCCTTGTCATAGCTGAGCTGCTGGGAATCGCCTCTTCTCCGGCCAGACCCCATCCCTCCCCCGGCAGGAGAGAGTGGCGTGGGATTTCCAGACCCTCTCTCCTTTGCCTGCCAAAGTTCAGGAAATAGGTGTCCCTTCCTCGGCAACCCCTTCCTCCCCTCTCGCCCGTCCTGCTGACAGTCTTCCGGAGTCACACACATAGCTGACAAGGGAACAAGCTCAGCCCTGCCCGTGCCTGCTGGCCTCTCCTGCTCCCTCACAGCCAAGACACTGGTTTTTTGTCAGAAGCCCCTCTTTCTTGTGTGGGCTGACACCTATCCCTCTGCCCGCCCCGACTATGGTCTCCTCAAACCCTAACCTGCCCTGCCCCATGCTGATGAAGCTGGTGGCTCCCACAGCAGCCAGCACGACCCGAGAGCCTTGGGCCCCGGGGGAGTTGTCAGGTGGGTCCCGGTCGCTGCTCTGCCCCTCACTGACTGACCTTGATGGGAGCCTGAACATCTCAGAGGCTGCTCCCCTGTGACATGGACCCTGGTGACCTGTACACCTGCATTACCAGGGTTGCTCTGCATGTCAAAAGAGACTATGTGGGTGAAGCAGTCCCCTGGCGTCAGGTACCTTTTGTCAGAACTGCTGAGAGCTCTGTGGCCCAGGCCCACCCCAGCTTACTTGCTGACCTTGGCCTCGCCTTCTCTGACTTTCGGTCTCCCTATAAAATTGGAGGTGTCTGACTAGCGACCCCCATCCCACAGAGATCTCAGACCCCCCTGCAGCCCCTGGTCAGCCCAGGGGAACAGACCCCATGTTTCTTCCTAGCAACACTGCCCACTCAGCGAGGAAGCAGCCGCGACGCCCACACTTCCTGCTGGAGCCTTCGCAGAGCCAGAGGTCCCTGGGGTGTGGCACCATGGGCAGGCAGGGGTAGGTGGTCGGGGGCCCCAAAGGCAGCTGGCGCCTCCATCTGGGGCCTGTGTTTTGGCAGTCCTGGGGTGGGTGGCCCCCTTTCCTTCTTGTTCCTTGGTCCCAGAGGAGGGTCCTGTGGCCTGACCAGGCTCTTGCCTTCCCTGTGCTCAGGCCTCAGAAGCCCAAGGAACATGGCCTAGGTATGGCTCAGCCAGCAGGCCCCTCCCTGACGCGGCCCTTTCTGGCAGAGGCCCCGACAGCACAAGTCCCACACAGCCCCGGGCCTGGGGCCCTGTCAAGCGCCCCTGGCCCAAAGCAGATCCTGACGGCAAGCACAGGCCCGGAGCTGCTGCTGCTGCCTCCTTCCTCCTTCATGCCCTGTGGGGCAGCTGCACCAGCCAGGGTACGTCCTCTACCACCAGGCCTGGGCGCTGGGGCTCTCTCTTTGGTCTGGCTTCTGGTGTTCCTTCTCATACCATACCTGTACTCATCATTTCTGGAAAACCTTGGCACAGGGAGGCCACTCATCCATACTCTCTTGGCGGCTGACGAGGCAGGATATGCTCTGAGGGATTTGCTGAGTGAGGGGGAAGAAGGAATCCAGGCTGATTTGGGCTGCTGGCTTGAATAACTTGGGGAACAGAGTTCTTTGACTGGAAGAAGGAGCTGGGTGTGGGGACTGATTTGGGCTGAAGCGTCAAGAGTGTCTTGAACCAGGTTCTTGATGTCAAACTTGAGAGAAAGCAAACGTTGAGTCTGACCTTCAAGGAAGAGGTCAGGGCCAGAGATTGAGAAGAATCCTCAGCACAGGCCGAAGGTAACCCCAGAGCCGCTGCGGCCTCTAGGAGGAGTACAGGGGAAGGAGAGGGGATGAGCCTCCAAGTGGGGAGCCTGGGCGGGGATGGCCAGGGGGTGTGAGAGCTCAGTAATGGAGTGACAGCTGCTCTCAGGCCACCAAAGCAGCTGGTTCCTGAATGGGGATGAAGGGGCAGGAAGGAGCCAGTTCCTGTGGTGAGTTAGGCCTTGTGGGGCCACTTACCCTGGCTGGAATGGTGTGTGGGGTTGGAAGGGTTTTGACCCGTCGGGTGATGGAAGGGGCAAATCCACTCTCACCAGGAGAGGAGGGCATGGAGGAGGCCGTAGAGCGCTGGACTCTCACTCACTACTTCTCACTGACGTCGAAGCTCAGCAAGGTCATGAGCTCAGAGCAAGGTGGGGGTGGAGTTGGGTAAGGTTAGGAACAGCTGCTCAGGCGGTGGAGGCGCGAGGCGGACTGTGGTGACACGGGGTGCTCCCTGGTTGCTTGTGGGACTTTCTCCTACAGTACCAGGTCCTGTGTGCAGGGGCAGGCTCGACACTGGATGAGCTAGCACGGCCAGTGCCTGGGAAGCCCAGCTCCTGCAGCTGGGGGCCTGGTCTTCCCCCACCCCTGCAGAGCAGGCAGTGACAAGGACTTGGTGTCCCCCTCCCCGGCTTCCTCCTAGCTTCCCTGCTGAGCATCCACCCTTCTTTCCTTTGCAGGCGTCAGCACAGCCGGCTATTCCTAGGGATAAGCCCCAGGTCCCCCCATCCCTGGCCAGTGTCCCTGACCCCCATCTACTCCTTCCTGGGGACTTCTCAGCCACCAGGGCTGGGCCTGGGCCTGGGCTTTCAACTGCAGGTGTGTACCTGGGGCCTGTCAGGGCAGAAAGCACTCAGGCCACTCCCAGACCTGAGACTTGCTATTTACCCTGGTCCCAGAGGGGAAAATGGTCTGAAACAAGCTTACTTCTGTCGCCATAGGCAGCCTGGACCTTGAGGCTGAACTTGAGGGGATCCAGCAGCAACTACTGCACTACCAGACCACCAAGCAGAACCTCTGGTGAGCCCTGCGAAATGCCCTGCGGCCCTGGCTACAGGAGAGGTGTTGCTTGGAAAAGTGGGCGGGCAGTTCCATTTCCCCTGAGCCAGCTGCCAGGGTCCTGTGGGTGGTCTTGGTCTAGCTACAGAGGGGTGTGGGGAGCCCTCAGTGTGTGCTGTCCAGAAAGGCCCCGTCTCCACCATGGCTCTTGACCTGGCTTGGTGCTGCTTAGGAAGGCCCCAGTCAGCCTCACCTATGGACAGAGGCTCTGCTTCCTATGGGGGGGATGATAAAGTTGAGCAAACCTCTAAAAACCCGATGAGGCCATGCTGTCCCCAGTGACTAATTATAACACTGATATTAAAGGTGCAGAGAAGGGCTGGGTGTGGTGGTTCACACCTGTTCCCAGCACTCTGAGAGGCTGAGGCGGGCGGATCACGGGGTCAGGAGTTCAAGACCAGCCTGGGCAATATGGTGAAACCCTGTCTCTACTAAAATACAAAAATTAGCTGGGCATGGTGGTGCACACATGTAATCCCAGCTACTTGGGAGGCTGAGGCAGAAGAATTGCTTCAGCCTGGGAGGCGGAGGTTGCAGTGAGCTGAGATCGCGCCATTGCACTCCAGCCTGGGCGACAGAGTGACACTCCATCTCACACACAAAAAAAAAGTGCAGAGGAGACAGGCCCGAGACCCGCTGCACTCAGTGGTCTGGGGACCATCATCATGCAGCAGCTTCAGAGCTTCGACAGCAACAGACTCTGGCGCCTCATCCTTGCCTCTGCACAGGGGAAGAGAAACAAGAAGTGTGTTTTCGCCCAGGCCCACCTGAGTTGCTGTCTGCTCGGGAGGGCGGAGGAGACTGGGAGAGGAAAAAGAAGTGTTCGGCTCCCAAGCAGGGGCCTGCAGCTCAGGTCAGGGGCCCTACCAGACCGCCTTCCTCTCTCCACACGATACCCACATCAGAATTAGCTGAGGTGCCGCTCTCTGAGCCGGATGGGGCTCTGCCAAGGACCCAGCCTGGCAGGCAGCAGGTATCTCCACCCCTCAGGTCCTGTCAGCGGCAAGCGAGCAGCCTGCGCAGGTGGCTGGAGCTGAGCAGAGAGGAGCCCGGACCTGAGGACCAGGAAGTAGAGCAGCAGGTGCAGAAAGAGCTGCAAGAGGTGAGGCCGGAGGCCATCCCCAGGTGTCCGTAGGGACGCCCCGGGCTGTGCTCCCTCTCAGCCCTGGCTGTCCCTCTCTGGTCCCAGGTGGAACTGCAGATCCAGCAGCTGGCAGAGGAGCTCCAGGCTCAGCGCCAGCCCATTGGCACCTGCCTTGCTCGCATCCAGGCCCTGCGGCAGGCCCTGTGCTAGCGTGTTTGCCCCAGGGACGCAGGTGCTGGGCTGTCGGGGAGGCCTCAGGCCACCTCCAGGAACAGAACACAAAGTTATAAGTTTTATTTTTTTATTTCAAAATGTTTTGCCATTAAATGAATTACTGTTCAGAAGTCTCCCACTTCTCATACAAAAATACTGTGCTACTGATACAGTTGAAAAAGTTCAATGATGGCTCTCCTGCAGGAGAAATTCACAGCGTCCCCAGGGTCAACATGAACTCTGGCCCTGTCCCCGCCATTGGGGGCTCCCCAGGCACTGACCGACTATCCACCAAGGGCCCTCTGCCTCCCAGACAGACCCTGAATCAACAGCAGCAACTTTCCCACATTTCATGTAGGGATATGGGGAGGACAGGAACTCTCCCATCCCCAGCTGGGCCTACCACCTGCCTGCCCTGTTCATTCTGGTGCCATGAGGCAGGTTCAGTGATTAGTCTTGCCTGCTGCAACGAGGACCTGACCAGCTCCAGAAGGTCACTCATCAGGTCCTACAGAGGTCTGTATCATTAATCAGTGTCCTCAGAAGACACTGGCAGAGTCCAGGGTGATGCATTCAGCCACAAGCACAAAGACTGCTTTTTCTAAAGAGCAGGATGAGGTGAATTTGGGAACAGAAAGGTTGTCATGAAGGCTGTGTGGCTCTGCTGGGGGAAGAGGCATCCACAGTCTGTGCCAAGGAGGCACCTCACCCTGTGCAGCAGGAGGGTTAAGGCCAAAAAACAAAAGGGGCCAACAGAAAACAGCCCAGGTGATGGGGAGGAGCAGCAAGAAAAAATGACAATCGAGACCAACTGAAGGTTCAGTCGGGAATGCAGGATCTCCCGTCTATACAGTGTTTAAAAAGATCCAAATGTGACAGATCAGTCCAGCCTGCACTTTTTATTTGTAGGGAGAAGGAACAGGATAGGTTGAGGGCATGACGGGGGCTCTCACCCACCTCTTGTCTGTACCTCCAGAACAGGTGGGAGCCGAGTCATTCAAGTCCTACCTGGTCAGACTCTCACCCACCCTGAGGCAGGCCCTCACCTGGATGGCCTCATGGGCCTCCCTCTCTAAAAGACGCTCACTCAGTTTGCAAAAGATCCCTTAGCAGCCATAATCAGGAAAGAGGCTCTAGAGCGAGCCCAGGGCCTCCCCAAAGCGGATTTTCTGTCCTGTTTTCAGCTGGAAATTGAAGTCCTTGGGGGCCTCAAAGATGAGCACGATGGTGGAGCCCAGGTTGAACTCGCCCAGGTGCTCGCCCTTGCGCATAGGGACGCCCTCTCTATTGGTGTGCGTCACGAAGCTGAAGTCGTTGTAGGAGCCCTTGCTGTGCCTCGGGCTGTTTGTGTGCAGGTCCTGTGGTGATAGGCTGGGGGTCAGCGGGGCCACCAAGTGCACAGTGTCACCCCACGTGTTTGGAGTCCCACCCACTCCCTCTGTTGCTTGTCCCCACCACCACCCAACCCAGCTCCAAAAGGGAGGTGGGGATGGCATCTCAGGGCCAGGTGGGCCCAGTCTAGCCAGATCTCACACACAGCATTGACACCTGCTGTGAACTAGGCCCAGGAAAGACGGAACAATCGGACCCAGTGGTTTCCATGCATGGTGCTGGGAGAGTGGCACCTGTGGGAGCCAAGGCCGCTGGTCACAAACTGACACCCAAAAAGGCAGCCACTTGGGACAGGGTGGGCAGCAGGCCTGCGAGTGCTGACCCCCTCACATTCTGTAACCAACATGAGCCACCCCGAGCTCAACGCTCCCTTTCTGTTCCCTCCTCACTCTCACCTTTGACCATGGTTCCTAGCAGAAACCAGGTGCCAGGCAAGGAGGTTAATTCCCTCTATCTCTTCCAGCCAATGGTGCAAGAAGGGAGGGAAGCCTCAGCTGGCTGGCAGGTGGAGCAGCCCATTCTCAGGACAGCTGCTCAGCAGAGCCACACCTGACCAGACACGTGGCCTCCCTAGAATTCAGTCCCAACCCATCCGCCGCACAGCAGACAAGGCAGGTAGATCCAAGAGGTCCAGCCCTTGGGCTTTGGCAGGGCCTACACTCTGCTTACCCGGTCAAAGTAGATGCGAATGGAGCCCACGTTGGTGGCCCCCACAGCCGTCAGTGAGAAGAAGCCATGTTTCCAGTCCCCCGTCAGGACTACCCGCTCGTTATGGCAGAAGAGCTCTTTGATCCAGCGAGCCATGCCAGGGTTCACTGACATCAGGGAGCCTGCAGAGGCAGGGAACGCTGCTACTCCCTGTCCAGAGCCCAGTGTGTCCACTCCAGGGCAGCCAAGACCCAAAGGGACTCATGGCCTGTTGCCCTGATGTCATTTCCAAATGCTGAGCCGAGTGGGCCCCATGGTCCCCTGCCCACAACCAGCCTGCATAAAGCAGTCAGCTCCTGGCCTCGATGGCCCTGACCTGGAGCCTGGTCCCCTGACACCAAGAAGCTGAGAGCCTCTATGTGAAGCCCACAGAGGCAGCTCCCCCCACACGCTGGCCCCAGGCTGACCTGGGAAGTGGCGCCGGTGGGACACAGTCCAGTCCGTGGGGGAGTGGAAGCAGTGGTAGTCCCCGGGGGCCAGGTAGATGACACAGTGATAGAGCTCATTCCCTTCCCGGGTGACCAGCTGGTTCTTGAAGGAGTCACATGAGGCGGCTGTGGGGTAGGAGCAGACATGGGGGCCACCAACACAGTGAGCACCCAGCACGGAGCCCGAGTGCGGTCTGCACATGGATTCTCAGGGAGGCCCCACATGCCAGCCTCAGCTCCTTCCCCAGCATTCCTCTCCCTCCCGTTCCAGCCACACAACAGCAGGGCTGCCTGGCCCCGCCTGTGCAGTGACCCACCTGGTGGGAAGGGTAGGTCCTCTGTGTAGGTGCGTGGGCCCAGGAACGACTCCAAGGAGTAGGTGACCCCCTTTACCTGCTCCACCTCGCAGTTCTTCACCTGCCCAAAGTTGAGGATCTTTCCATCCGATGGGCTGATCTGGAAAGACAGAAGAGGCTTGCTGCCAGGGAGAGCAGGGTCTCCTCCCCTCAGAAGACAGCCCCCACCTCCCCTTGTCATCCTGCCGCTTCCAGATATGCTGGAGGCCAGGGGGCTGTGCTGGGCAAGTGGAGTCCCAGCTGCAGAGGCAGGAAAAAGTCCTGTTTCCCCCAGGAGGAAAGGATCGGGCCTCACCACACTGTGCAGGCCGCAGACGGGCCGGGCCTGCGGCTTCAGCTTGCGCCGGAAGAACTCGCTGAGGTTGCGGTAGTGATGCAGGTCCTCCACAGCAGCCTCCTTCATGTTCACCCCGAAGGTCCAGATGTACAGGCTATAGACGGGCCTGCGCAGCCAGTGTGGCAGCTCCACCTGGTTGAGGCGACCCCAGGCCCGTGACAGCAAGCGTGTCGGCACTGACTTGTACAAAGCCACCTGCAGGCCACAGGGCAAGGGGCTGAGTTGACCACACTGCCCCAGCTCCAGAGAGCCCAAGTACTGTCATGAGCCCACATCTCACTTCAGGAGAGAATCTGCACCCCACGGAGGACACCAGGGCCCAGGTGCCCCACGCTGCTTTTGTGATGTGGCTGTTTCTCACTGGGAACCAGATTGCACCTGCCATTCCTGCCACACAGAGTGCTGGATTTACGTACAACTCCAGTGGTTTTCGCCATGTCATGCAAAAGTCTAATAGCAACTGCCCCAGTCCCAGAACGGGAGATGGCCAACAGTCTTACTTCTTAAAGTGGGGGTCGGAAACGGATCTGACCCTAACCACAGTGTGTGACCCTAGCCACGGTGACCCCAGTATCACAGTATGTGGAGAGGTGGTTGGCATCTTGCCCTTGGTCACTGCCCATATCCCAGACCACCAGAGAAAGGAGGCGGCTCCCAAGTACGTGGAACAAGTCTACAGCCCAAAATGTGTCCCTCTGTCTTAACAGGAAGTGAGGAGGACACCCTGAGCACCAACATCAGGGATTTTCAGATGCAGGTCTGCGATGTCGCTGTCACCTGGGCCTGAGCTGCAGACACAGGGTCCGCAGCCCCCACAGGTCCAGCCAGCACTCTGAGGGCCTGGACGCAGCAGTCTGAGAAGCCCTGAGCCCCACCTCGGCCCCACAGCAGGACTTGTGTTCAACATTCTACTGTGACTGAGTCAGGCCATAAAGCTGTCTGCACCTGGGGTTCCTCCCAGGAGGCAAAGGGAGATCGTCCCTTCAGGCCCGTCTGTTCTCTCTTCCTTCAGGGAAGCCTGGAGCACCTGAAGACAGACGATGGCCTGAGGACAGGCACTGGGTCCCACTAGTTGGTCCCAGAGCCCTCTAGCAGGGCCAGGTACCCAGGAAGTGGCAGCCTGTTAGTGCTGCTGCCACTGTAGAAACTGCCTCTAATTGGTGGCTGCTGCTTCTCTAAACACAACCAAGACACCAACGCCCCAAGGTGTAAAAGTGGTTTCATTCCAACTTTCAACACCTCTGCAAGGTAAGGAATTAGCAGCTCCCAGACAGCTGCTCTTATCCCTCCCAGCTGATTCCCAGTCACACAGAAGGGCTATGTGAGCCCAGGCCCTTCCCAGGCACAGGTGGGAGCCTGGGCTAATGTCCAGGGTACCTCAGTGCCCCTGAGCTCTGATGACACCAACCTGACAAAGGCCCAGGAACAGGGTTTCCTCCTTGGGGTCAACCTGCCTGGGAAGCCAAGGGCAAGAGTGAGCCCTCTAGGGGCCGGGAGGGGCCAAGCCAGTTCCCTTGACCATTCCTGGGGCAGGCCTCTGGGCTCCTTAAAGGTGTCCTCACCCTAAGGAACCCAAACAGGATCCATCCTTCCTGAACCACTCCTTTGGCATCCCAGAATTAATTTGGCTTCTGCTCAAAACCACCTCTAAGCTGTTTTCTGCCTGAACACAGAAAAGTCAGAGACAGACACCATTTTCTGAATCCCCAGGCTGGGTTCCTTCCAGAACCGGAGCCCCAAACGGCAGAAATGAGGCAGGCTAGGGGAGCGGGCAGGGCACGGCATGCCCTCGCAGTCACTTCCGCGGCCCAGGTAGTGGCCTCTTCAAAAGCTGCCCTGGCCTTGCCCACCAATGAACCTTCCAACCCTGACCCACTGAAGATGACCCTCTGCTTCTGACAGCTCGCCGCCACCTCAGTCTCTCCTCACCCCAACCTCGGGCCTGCCCGGAGGGCAGGTCCGGGCCACAGGGCCCTGTGCACACTTACCCTGCTTACGGGCCTCCATCCCACCCGGCTGAGCGGTCTGAGGGCGCCGAAGGGCAGGAGGTAGTAGAGGACGGTCAAGGGCCAGGAGCGCAGTTTCAGGGCGGGTCTGGACATGCAGCTCAGCTGCCCCAGCCTCCGCCTCAGGGCCAGCTGGGGGAAGTGCAACCTGCAGGGCACAGGTCCATGCACAGCCAGGTCAGTGGCCAGGCTCTAGGCGGGACCCAGGAGACTGCTACCTGCACCCAGAGCAGGATTCCTCCTGTCTACCCACCCTTGTTGGCAAGCTACCTTGCCATGGGGTGATGGAGCCCAGCAAACACTGGCTGTGCCCCTTTGTCCCAACCCCATTCTGAGTCAGGGGTTTGGCTGCCTCTGGCTAGCAGACTCATTTCCCAGGCTCTCCCACCCGCCAGCCAGCTGGGGAGGACTGGGAATGTGGGGGCAGCCACAAGAGGAGAGTCAGGCCCAGCTGCGGGGCACCTCTCAGCCTCAGCAGCTCCCAGCAAGGGCCTCCAGACCCAAGTACCTGGGCCCAGGGAGGGGAGAGCAGGGTGCAGGGCCTGCCTCACATTCCTCAGCCTCCATGGCCCAGGAGAGTGAGCCCAGGGGCCAGCTCTGCCACACAGGCACTGGCATGGCAGCGCATAGCACTGAGGAGCTACGACCCAGCCAGCTGGGTAACCATTTGCTCAGTCTTCTGCTACCATCCTTTGCAGGATCTGGGATATTCTTTTCATGGTTCCAGGCCCCCTCTTTCCTCATCTGCTAAATTACGGGGCCAAGGCCAGACAAACTCTCAAAGGGAGCATTTACACCCCACCTACCAGCACCACACAGCTACGGTGCCATCCATCTGCATGGTCTTTCTATAACAGGCCAGGTTCTGAAAACCCATCCACAGGTTTGTGAACAAAACCTCCCCACCACAAGCTCTCAAGCACCTGCCTGTTCTGCTGGGGCTGCGCCCGCATATACACACACACACACCCAAGCCCCTCATTTCAGCAAAGGTGGATACACACACACACACACACACACACACAAGACCCAAGCCCCCCCCTTTTTGCAAATGTGATCCCGCCTCTCCCCACCCTCCCAGCACAAATGCAGGGCACTCAGCAGGGGCTCAGCTTCACCAGAGCCAGAGCAGAGGCTGGGCGAGCCTTTCCACCACAACCCTGGCCTCCTGAGCAGAAACAAGACCCACCCCACCCTGTCCGTGCCTAGGCCTAGCAAATGCTCCTGAGACCCAGGGTAGCCAGCAGGAGACCACACTGCCGTCCACTCAGAACGTCCCCAGGCCTCAGTTTCCTCATCTGCAAAGTAACTGATTTGGCTAATCTACGGCTGCCATCTGGGACTGTGCTCTCAAGAGAAGCTGAGTCCTCTCTCCCAGTCGCTGAGCAAACCAAGGAACAAAGCGGCATCTCAGCTGATAGAAGCAGCAGAGCAGGAAAGGCAAACCAGCAGCGAACCCCGCTCAGGCTCAAGCTCAGAGGCGGCTGCATCTCCACAGCTCCCGGGTGCCTGCTTTCTCTCCCATCCCAACCCGGTGTATTTTTAAAAGGTCCAGGAAGGTGGCAGGGGCCAAGCGAAGACAAATCACTGCTCCCCTCTGGCTTTGCCACCTGCCCCACTCACTGCAGAAGAGCAGGGACCAATCAGGAAGAGCTGCACCCCTCCCGCGGGCAGGAAGGGGGATGGGGAAGCCTCTCTCCCAGGTGGGGTGCAGAGGCAAGGGTCTGGGCTGGGAAGAGGGGGCCTGGGAGCACCAGGGTAGGGAATATCACAGGCCTGAGGTCTGACGCCTGCTGGCAGCCTCCCCCTGCTGGGCCCTCCTCGTGGTTGGAACCAAAGATACCTGAAGCGGGCTCTCCGACTCAGGGTGCTCAGGCCCCCCAGGCCGGGCCCCTCCAGCCTCGGGGGCTGACCACCAGTCCCCTTGCCGCCACCTCTACTGCGAGGCCGCTGGATGTGAACTCTGACCTTCCGGAGGTCGTGGCGGGGAACCGTGGGGTTAGGGCGCGGTGGGCAGCATCTCACCATTTCGCCGCGCCGAGCTCTGGTCCTCGCCGCGCCTCTGACTGACACATCATGGGCCGGCACAGGGAGGGCGGGGCGAGGCTCACTCGATCACTCCCTTTGTTTTCCTCTTTCCTCCCCTTCCCCTGAGCCAGCGGATCTCCTGTGCTGTCACTGCTCCAGGGCCTCTGCCTCTGCGAGGCCGGTTGGTGGCGCCGCTTCCTGGGCTTGGTTCAGTCTTGGTGGCTCACAGGGTGCAGATTAGAGGGTCAGGGCTATTGCAGACAGACAGGCACTAGTCACACACCTGCTCAGGTCACCTGCTCAGGGCTTGCAGCCCAGTGCAAAAGCCCCTGCACTGAAGCCCACTGTCCCCAGTCCTGGCCACCTGCCCTGTCCCTGCTACCCAGGGCTGAGCCAGCCTGCACTGCTCATCCTCTTCCTCAGCTGGCCTGGGGAGGCAGCAGGGGGCAAGGCCCTCAGGCTGCTGGGTCCAGTAAGCCATGACAGGGAGGGGACCCGCCACGGCTGCCAGGGTTTTCAGGCACCACTCAGCTCCAAACACACAAGGTGGGAACTTGAGCCCCATGCTCCCGGCCCAGGCCCAGGTCCGGGTCCAGCACCGCGTCAGCCGGTCTGCGGTGTGGCCCCTCCCTTGCCAGGACCTGACCCATTTTCAATTCAGGTTACAAAGTGGCATCTGAGGAATGAGATGAGTGGGAAGCCACGAGAGGCGCCCTGGTGAGAACCTGGCATCTTACCTGCTGTGGCTCTCTCCTCACCCCTCCTGGCCTTGACCCCCCACCGCAACACACACATAAAATACCCAGTTCCCTGCTCCAGGCCTTCCTCAGACGCTGTGCATGTGGGGAAAACCAGCCTGGGGCTGGGAACAAGCCAGGACTGCAGCCCAAACCAGTTCCACTCCCCTTTTTCCATCTTTGCTTCAGAAAAGCATTTTGGCCAGCGGGGAGGACAGGCCCAGCCCCTACAAAGCCTCTCCACGTTGGCCTGCACAGATAGCAGAAGGAAGAGCAAACATGCCAAAGCTGCTGCTATCTCAGCCCAGGCAATCAAGGCCCTCCAGGATATGGGCTGACAGGGGGCCCACCCCTCCTGTCCTTCACCCCCAACCACTGCCCAGGAAGGGGGCAGGCACCTGTCACCATCCTTAGATGATGAAATTGGCCCCAAGAGCTGCCGCCTAAAGCAAAGAATAGGCCAGACATGGCCAGCCTGCTATGAGGCCGAACTCAGACATCACTGTGGTCATGCGCGGTCGAACATCTGACGCCCTGGCAAACCCTCCTCAGCCACAGAGGAGAAGATTCCACCCGGACACCTGCCCGCTAGAGTCACCGAAGCCCCGGGTATGGGATTCAGTGGCCTCTTGGAGCCAGGACAATAAGGTGACTAAGGTCTGGACACAAGCATGGATTTCTCCACTGATCCAGGCAGTGGCTAGGGCTGGCCAGGCCCCTCTCCTAAATGAGCGATGGGGACAGTTCACTGCAGGTGGGTCAGGCAGGAGGGCACCTACCCACCAGCAAACAGATACACACCAGCATCCTCCCTCGAGAAGATGCCGGCACCAGGAAATTGGCACAGGCACAAGAGGCCCATCCCATCGCAAGGCCCAGACCCAAAGACACCCCAGCTTCAGCCCCAGGGTCCAGGCCTCCAGGGCTGTGTCACTCCAGTCACTCCGCCAACATACTGAGCACACACCCCACCCTCCCTGGCCCAGCAGGCTCCATGCTGGCCTTCCCCCAGCAGGGAAACAGAGGGGTAACAGCAGTCAGGGGTGAGCCTGGTGCCTGGTTCCAAAGGGGAAGCTCTTTCCCTGGTGGATAGAGTGCAGGCTTGGAGCTGAGCTCAGAGCCAGGATTCACAGCGAGGCAAGCATGGCCTTGAGGGGAGGCAGAGAGGAGGGGCCTTGGGGAATCCCAGCCTCCTGCCAGTTTTCCTCCCTGATCTACCATGTGGGACAGTGACCACCACAGCCCTGAATGTATCAGAAAGATGAACCCAGATGAACCTAGTTTGGCCAAAAACCTTGGGTTCTCAAAGCAGGTTCCCCTGTGAGCCTTGGTATTTCATTCTTCCATGGTGCTGTGAGGGGCCGGGTCTGGCCTCCAGTCTCAGAGGGGGCCCTACTAAGGAATCGAGGCACATGAGGCCAGGGGCCAAGTCAGATGCCCATCAGGGAAAGGTGGGCCCTGGAGAGACTAATAACTATCCTGAGAGGCCAGGCTGCGGCACTGCACCTGCTGGTGAGCCCAGTGAGGGCATGGGGTCCTTGCTCATTCAGATCCTTGACATCACTGTTCTGCCTCTTCTAAAACAGGCACCGAGACCAGGGTGTCAGTGCCTCCAAATTACCACCTGTGGGCCCCAAAAGATCGCCAGGAAGGAAAATGAATCCAGCTTTGCCCCAGGACACAGGCTGAGCACTGCCAGTCCCTCTCAGAGCTGCAGGATAGAGGGAAGGGGCGCTTAGAGGTTGCTGCCTTCTTGCTTCCCAAGGGTAAAGCCAGTTCCTTGGCCAGCAGTGTTTCTGGCCTCCCCATTTCAGAGCCCAGCTTGCCCTCTGCCTATGACAGCCCTGGAACCCCAAGCCAAAGATTTCATCCTTTCTGGCTGTCTTGAGGGTGACATGAGGTGGGAGCCTCAGGCCCTGGATGAGGAACTTGCAAGAAGGGTACCCAGAATGGAGGAAGCGCTGACACCTTCCCTCCCTTCTAAGCCTCAAAGACATTCTGTGGAGATGAGTTTAGGGTTGTAACCAATAGGACTTTAATGTCATTACATGGCCTAAGGGCCAGTCACCTGCAACATGAGAACTCAGAGGGCCTTGTGGCTGGTGACAACCTGGTCACTGCAATTCTGGCTGCCTTCCTCTACCCCTGCCCTGAGAGCAGGGAAAGGCCTTGGCAAGTCACAGGTACTCTCTAAGTCTTGGTTTGTACATCTGGAAAATGGGAAAGGAAATTCCTGCTACCCACTCCCTTGAGGCTCAGAGCACAGCTGCAACCATGGCCCAGAATAACTGCTCAGAAACCCCACTTCCACCCAGGAGCGTGATGCAGCCTCAGACCTGGCTTTCAACACCTCACCTCTCCAAAAACTCAACCTCACACCGGTGGAGGCAGGGGTTTCCACCACAGGAAAGATGAAATAAGAGGGGCTTAGGTGGCAGTTCTAACACAGGAACCCAAACTTGCGGGCAGTGACTGGCCCTGTGAGTAGGAAGCAATGGCTGACAGGACCCTATGGGGGGTGGGGAGCACCTTTGTCAGGACATGCTGTTCTGGGGATCCATACCAGAGCAGTAGGACAATGTCCCCACCCATCCTTCACCAACCAGGGTAAAGACCACAATACCTGCCCCCCCCCAGTGGAATGGAACATTCCAACTGAAGTCGATGAATGCACCCAGGCCAGGCAGCAGTTACTACAGGTTGGGTTGGGGCCTGCAAGCATGTTGTGCATGCAGGGGAGGTGCGTGTAGGTACAAGTATGTGTGCACGTATGATACGTGTGTAGGTGCAAGGGTATGTGCATGGAGGGGTGCGTGTATAGGTGTGAAGGTGCGAGGGTGTGTGTGTGGGGGTGTGTGGGGTGTGTAGGTGTGAGGGTGTAGGGGGTGTGTTAGGTGTGAGGGTATGCTATGCGTATAGGTGGTGTGTGCGAGGTTACGTGCATGGAGGGGGTGTGCACGGGTGCAAGGTGTGTGCATGTAGGAGCCATGTGTGTAGGTATGAGGGTGTGTGCATATAGGGGTGTGTGTGTAGGCACGAGGGTGTGGGGTGTGTGCCTGTAGGGGTGTGTGTGAGGGGGTGTGTGCATGTAGGGGGGTGTGTGTAGGTGAGGGGGTGTGTGCCGGTAGGGGTTGTGTGCGTGAGGATATGTGTGTGTAGGTCCAGGGGTGTGTGTAGGGGTATGCGTGTATACACTTACAGTGCTGCTCCTGTTGGATTCTGGTTCAAGCCTTAGCAAGGCGGAGCAGGCAGTGAGGGATATTGCACTGTCGCCTGCAGACCGCAGCCCCCAGTCAGCTCTGCCGGAGGATATGGAGCCTTGCAGCTTGTGTGTTCAGCCACGAACCCTGAGAACTGGCTCCTGCTATCTGATGGGAAGCGCCTGGAGCGCCAGGACCACGCCTCTTGAAGCCTCAGCAGAAACCTCCAGGGCCCCAAATCCTGTGTCCAGTGGGCCTGACTGCGGGGCCGTACACTCCCCCCAGGAGGCGGGGAGCGAGGAGGGGGGCTGACTTTCTCCCCAGCTCTGCTGAGGCCGGGCCACCAGGCAGCAGCATGCGTCCAGTGGGGCGACAACCCTGCCTTCCCTGTGTTCCTGAGCTAGAAGTAGGCAAACTTTCCAACTAGGGGACGGGGAAAATGGTACTCCCTGGGCGACACGGACCAGGGAGCAAAGAGAAGGGCCCAGAGGCGCCTTTCAGCCAGTCAGGGGCAGGCAGCCCAGGAGGCCCTGGGAAGAGGGCAGGCAGGACTCGCAGGGGTCTGTCCTAGCCGCCCAAAGACAGGGAACCTCCCATCAGACAACCCTGGGCGCTAAGGGGAACTGGCTCTGGGCAGAGGCAGCAAGCCTGCCACCCGCTCCCTCGCCCTCCGGCGCTGCCCTCTTCCCCAGGCACCCTGCCCCCAGTCCCTCAGGCAGCGCGGAGGAGGAGACGGGAGCTCTCAGAGCCAGAGGCGCCCCAGCCCGGGCCCCGCCAATGCCGGCCGGCACCCCCTCACTTCCCACAGCCGCCTCACTGCCGGCGCCCTCCCCCACCCATACCCCCTCACTTTCCGCAGCCGCCTCACTTCCCGTACGTCCTTCACTTCCCGTACCCGAGCTCGGCAGGAGATGGGCGTGGAGGAAGTGAGCTCACGCAGCACGGGCTCAGGCTGTGCCCACGTGGGAACGGAAAAAAGCCCACGACTCGCTCGACCCTGTCCGCAGGGCTCCTCAGGCCGGGCCGCGTCGTCGCAGCTGGGAGAGCCCACCTGCGACCGAAGGCGCTAGAAGGGCATCCCCACCTGGCACTGGCTCTCTGAGCGGGCGGGGCAGGGCGCCTCCGTAAGAAGTCACCTGTGGCTCTCGGCCGGACCAGGGCGCCGGCTCCGCTCACTCACCCGCAGGTGGCTCCAGCTTCCGTCTCCGACTCCCCAGAGGCGCTCCCGGAGCCGCGAAGCCTTGGGGCGAGTGGGCGGGGCTCGGGCTCCAGCCACTCAGACTACCAGGGGCGGGGGCAGGAGACCGACCCCAGCCACCCTTAAAGCCGCCGCTGCCTCTGAGCCCCAGTCCTGCTGGGCCGCCAGCCCAACCCGAGGGCCTCTTTAAGAGGAGGGGCCAAGACCACGGAGAAGAGGAAGAGCAGCAGGCACCAGCTCTGCCTGGTCACTGTCACGGGAGGACCCCACTCAACTAGCAAGGTGGGCCCGGCTGCTCCCAAGGGATGCCTCCTGTCTGTCCTCAGTCTGTTCGCTGGTCTGTGAGCCGCCTGTCTGCAGCCTGTGGCTGGCCTCCCAAAGCAGCTGCCTCCCCTCACCACCCCCACCCAACACTAGGCAGACTCAGAATCCCACCCGCTGCTGACCTCATTGAGGACCGGCTTCTTCACTGGACTGAAGAGAAAGCACCCCTGCTAGCCCTGGAAGCTCCAGAGAAGGCGAAATCCCTGATCCTTCCCACACCCCATCTTGAAGCTACAAGGCTTCACCCCGACCTTCTGCCCTCCAGGCACTGCACATCCCTGACATAGAGAATGCCCCGACTCCAAAACTGATGTAGACCAGTGAACAGGGGCAGCCATAAACAAAGTCCGACCGCCCCAGCCTAGAGCACACAGGCCTCCCTGCTTCACTACTAGGATCCACAGCCCATGGGATGATGCATGCTGTCTTCCCACCCCACTAGATCGGAAGACCCTAGGTCTGCGGGTTGGCAGCCCACCCCATACCCACATGGTGCCAGACACCCAACAAGCACTCAGCCCACATGGGATCGGACCAATCAGCTTAATTCTTTTAGGGGAGGAGAAAGGTCTGAGAGGGATCACCATTCAATCAAAGAAAGAGTGTGGCATTAAGTAGCCTCATTCACATCTGTGGGAGCAACTGAGCACACCCATCCCCTATTCAATGGTGAGATGGCCTTGGAAGTCTCAGTCTCATTCTGAGCCACTGAACAGGATACAATTCCAGCTGCTGCTTACCACTGACATCTTTGTTTCTGAAACAACTAAGGTTTGGGGCCAGGCATGGTGGCTCATGCCTGTAATCCTAGCACTTTGGGAGGCCAAGGGTGGAACGATCACTTAAGCTCAGGAGTTTGAGACCAGCCTGGACAACACAGTGAGACCTCTTTCTTTTTTTAAACCAAAAAGAAAGAAAGAATTAAGGTTTGGAACAGGAGAAGAGGGTCTGTAGGGCTTGTGGAGAAATGGGGTGGTGGGCCACGCCTGGAACAGGACATAAGGGCGTGCAGTCACAGCCCCATACACCTGCCGTCCTTACCTGGATCCAGCCCAAGCAAGTGCTACATGACAAGCCACAACCCTGGGATGCAGCAGGGGGGAGAAGACAGATAGGGTCCTCCTCCATGGATTTCCATGTTCTTCCACACCTACAATGCACCCATGGGAACAGGGAGGCGGGGGTGAGCAAGGCACAGTACATTCCTAAGGGCCTCAGAATGTGGTACAGGGTGCAGATACCATACACACAGCCGCTCCTAAAATTCTCCTGTCCAGACATCACTACGGGAGGTCTTCAGATAGTGTCATCATAACACTGATGAGAAAAAAAGAAAAAATCTATTCCAGCCAGGGCTACTGTCTGTTAGGAGTGTGCATGTTCTCCCCATGTCTGCATGGGTGTTCTCTGAGTACCCTAGATTCCTCCACATCCCAAAGCTGTGCACTTAGGCTCACTGGTGTGTCTAAATGGTCCCAGTTTGAGTGAGTGTGGGTGCACCCTGTCATGGGAAGGTGTCCCGTCCAGGACTGGTTTCCGCCCTATGCCCTGAGCTTCCCAGATAGGGGACCACCTGCAACCCTGAACTGGAGTAATTAGGTAAATAATTATCTAACTTTTTATTAATTGTTCATAAATGCATGTATAGCTCACATTTCAATGGTTAATATTAGAAATGTTTGGGGTCTTTAAAAGTTCAGTGATGTTTTTGTGGTCAGAAACATTCACAGGAACTTAACTCTTGCTTCTATCAATTAGCCTATAGTAAAACTGGTTTCATTCTATGTTTTGCTTAAAGATGAAGATCCCAAGAACCTATCATCAAGATTGAGAACTTACTGTAACTGATCCCACCATTCTCAGAGCCCCAAAGAAACTTCAGACCCCTTCTTACCTCAGAACTCCAAAGAAACACATGACATGGGATAAAATGCAATTAAAGCACAGAAAGATGCTGACGCAGAATCCTGGCACCACCAACTTCCAGAACTGGAAAGACCCTGAAGACCATCCTGGCCTCCTCAAAGCCTCTAGTACTTACAGACCAGCCCACACGGGTCCCTGGGGATGGAACAAAACCAGGCCCCAGTTAGACCAGGGAGAAAGGTCTGCAGAGGAAAGTCCAGCTTCTGCACACATTCTACCTCCCATGTGCTGAGAGATCTCTGGGACTCTCACACCCTTCCCTGTGGAATGGCCAGCTCAGCTGCACTGCATCCACCTGCATTGCTTTTTAACCATTCTAAGCCTCTAAGGCAGATGGGTGTTTAAAAACCCATAAACCGCCGGGGGCGGTGGCTCACGCTTGTAATCACAGCACTTTGGCAGGCGGGGCGGGCGGATCACGAGGTTAGGAGATCGAGACCATCCTGGCTAACACGGTGAAACCCCGTCTCTACTAAAAATACAAAAAATTAGCCGGGCGTGGTGGCTGGCGCCTGTAGTCCCAGCTACTCAGGAGGCTGAGGCAGGAGAATGGCGTGAACCCAGAAGATGGAGGTTGCCGTGAGCTGAGATCGTGCCACTGCACTCCAGCCTGGGCGAAAGAGCGAGACTCCGTCTCAAAAAACAAACAAACAAAACAACCCCATAAACCAGCCCACAAGTCGGCCGAGATTAGCACTCCCCCACCTTCCAACCAGACCTCCACCACACGTATTTTCAGTGGGAAAATGCCTCTGGATTTTGAACAATCATTTACAAGTGAATTTCCATTAGGGAAAAAAAAAAGGGTCTGGAAATTTACTTTCCTGCCTTGTATTTATTTCTTTCAGGCCATGGAGTCCTTTATTTCCACGCCTCCCACTCTGTTAGGACTCCCTTGGGTGGGAGTGCCACCTAGTGCCACTGTGAGGCTCTACAGGCTCTCAGGCCACCTGCAGATGGAGGCCTCCCTGCCTCAGTCAACCCACCTGTATTCTCTGCCAGGTCGCAGCTGTGTGAATTTCATGCACTACTTCTAGAGGGATGCCCTGTGCCAGGGAACAGAAGGTAGCTGCGGAACAGGGGTGGCAGGTGTCCTCAGCTAATTCTTATTTCCTGGCTCTTGGCCAATTCTCATTCCCTGGGGGCTGGCAGAGGCCCCTCAAGGAAGATGGCTGGTGTCTTAACGGCTAGTACAAGAAACCACAGGCAGGCATCAGCCTCCTAGACATCTGGGCAGAGAGGCCGGGCAAGCACAAAGTGCCTTCAGGCTATTTCTCTACACACCAGATTCTCCTAGCCCTGCCCAACTCCCCACTCATCTTTAAGATGAGAATCGTTTTTGGCAGTCCCACTAGCCTGTGAGATGTCCCGGATACCCCTGGCCCATTCAGAGCCCCACCAGCAGCTCCCTAAGGGTCCTGCCCAGGCACTGAGGAAGGGCAAACTGAGGTGGAATAAAGGAAAAGCGCTTTAGGCCAGACGTGGTGACTTAATGTCTGCAATCCCAGCACTTTGGGAGGCCCAGTAGTTTTGTAAAAATACAAAAATACAAAAATTAGCCAGGTGTGGTGGTATGTGCCTGTAATCCCAGCTACCCGGGAGGCTGAGGTGGGAGATCACTTGAACCCAGGAGGCAGAGGTTGCAGTGAGCTGAGATCGCACCACTGTATTCCAGCCTGGGTGACAGAGCAAGACTCCATCTCAAAAAACAAAGAAAAAGAAAAAGTGCTTTCAGGCCGGGCATGGTGGCTCACACCTGTAATCCCAGCACTTTGGGAAGCTGAGGTGGGCGGATCACCTGAGGTGAGGAGTTCAAGACCAGCCTGGTCAACATGGTGAAACCATTTCTACTAAAAATACAAAATTAGCTGGGTGTGGTGGCATGCGCCTATAATCGCAGCTACTCGGGAGGCTGAGGCAGGAGAATTGCTTGAACCTGGGAGGTGGAGGTTGCAGTGAGCTGAGATCGCGCCACTGCACTCCAGCCTGGGCAACAAGAGCGAAACTCTGCCTTAAAAAACAAACAAAAAAAACCAGTGCTTTTAGGTAGAGTCGTCTGGCAGACAGCTTCACGCAGGGCCACAGGTGTCTTGAGTTGGCAATCCCTGGATTCCTTCCAACCCAGAAGTTTAGCCTTGTGTTTAAGTTCCATTTTCTTTTTTTTTTTTTTGGAGACAGAATCTCACTCTAACCCCAAGGCTGGAGTGCAGTGGCACGATCTTGGTTCACCACAACCTCTGCATCCCGGGTTCCAGCGATCCTCCTGCCTCAGCCTCCCAGGTAGCTGGGACTACAGGTGCCTGCCACCACACCGA